AATTAAGACTCCTTCTTCTTCAGAGGAAAGCAATGACAAACCTAGACAGCATCTTAAAAAGCAGAGACATCACCTTGCCGACAAAGGTCCGCATAGTCAAAGCTATGGTTTTTCTAGTAGCGATGCATGGAAGTGAGAACTGAACCATAAAAAAGGCTGACCTTCTTCAGAATTGATTACCCTTTTAGGTGAGCAAATATGACTATGAGAAAATTTTAACAATGGCCCAATTCCTGACATTTGTATTTGTTTCCTGACACTTGTAATGGATGCCCTAAAACATTAAGTTGTGCTCCATCAGTAACCTATGAGTCAATTCCCCGCTTAACATATTAGACATTCTAATTACATCAGAGATATGATGTACCACATCAACAAAGGAGTTGGTTTCAAAAGATGGACTAATCTTCCATGTATTTTAAAAAGTCCAGCACACACAAAGAAGCTACTTAAGAGAGAATGGACTGTTAGAACATGATTAGGATAACTGACTCTCACAGGAGTCCTAAAAGAAATTTATAGACCTCCCAGGCAGACAATAGATTTTATGATTCATCATACCTGACATTATCCCAATAAGTGGTCACAATTGACTAGATAGGCGGGATAGAAATGAAATGAAATGAAATAAATAAATAAAGGTTTAATCCCAGAATGAAACCAGTAATCAGTAATAAGCTTCTTTGTAAACTCACCTGGGTGTCTGATCCTTTATTGTTGCAAAATTCCAGGTCACTCCAGAACTTTTTAATTCTATATAAGTTCTATTTATTTACATTTCTAGGTATCCATATGAAAAACATGAAATGCAAAAATATTGTTGCTGTTGTTTAGCCATTATGTCGTGTCCAACTCTTCGTGACCCCATGGACCAAAGCACGCCACGCCCTCCTGTCTTCCACTGCCTTCTGGAGTTGGGTCAAATTCATGTTGGTAGCTTTGATGGTGCTGTCCAACCATCATGTCCTCTGTCTTCCCCTTCGCCTCTTGCCTTTACACTTACCCAACATCAGGGTCTTTTCCAGGGATCCAAAAATATTACAAACATGTAACTTTTGAGAAGTCACAAGTATGTTGTTTTATTTTGCAAAAAATCATCTTTATAGCTATGAACAAGCTGTAGGCAAAAATACTTAAATGCTTAAAATGTGAATTTAAGTTGCACTTGAATACAAAACAGGACTGCTGAAATTCAAGAGCTAATACAGTCAAAAATATAAGGGCATAAATACAATAAAATATCAAAAATGTTTTAAGTTGCATTCTAAAATAGAGTAGCATCTCTACCACGAATACAGATCCTTCCAAGAGTGAAAATGAACAAAATGCAACATAGCCCAATAATGTAGAGACTGGAGGCCCAAGGTTGGGGACCACTTCTCCACATTAGTGGGCTATGTTGCATTATATTTATACATCTCTGTGATATTTCATTTAAAAGTAAAAACCCATATAACTCCAAAAGCTTTTTTTAAAAACACATGAAATAACATCAGAGTTCTTATAACAAGAAAATATAAAATACAAAAGCATTACTCTAGGCATCTTATAAGCCCAGAAGAAAATATTTTCTCACCAAGCCTTTATCCAGCTGGAATAAATAGTTACAGTATGTTATGTCCATGTTATATCCTGGTTGCTTTCAGACCATGTGCGAGATGAAGTTTGTCTCCTTTCTTCTCCCTTTGGATAGAATGTTTCTCCATTATTTATCAGTGCAAGAGTGATTTCTTTATGCAATCTAGTGCCGCACCATTTTTTTTCAACCAATTAGAAGCCGACATGTTTAGGCTTCTAATTAAGCAGCCTTGAAGCCTAGTCTCCTGCATTTCATAGGCTTGACCTGCATACCTCCTGGCCTGGCTTGCTTCTGGCCATCAAGGTCAGAGTAAAATCCCCCTTCCTTCAAGCTAGTGCTTGCTGGAATGATGTAATGCATTGACAATACAATACAAACAACATATCTCTTCTCATCTGTTCTTTTGTGTTATTATATGTGGTGCTGTTTATTTGTAAAAATTTTATGCTTATTGTATACTTTTTATGGAAGCCGCTCAGAGTGCTCGATCTGACCAGATGAGCGGGATATAAATCAAATAAATAATAATAATAATATATTATTTTCATTTATATTACAGAATATACATGTTTATACTGTTTTTAGAACTTAATCATATTATTAATCATAAGGCCTTATAAAACAAGTGACAACTTCTCTACTTGGTTATAATTAAACAAACAACTTTTAATTCATCCTTTTCTCCTTTTACACTATTCTGTAAAAGTTTCTATTGTACAATACGTTGTTATTCTCATTTCTTTAACAAAGGTCTCCACATCTATTTTGTGGTATTTCTTTTAAACTAACAAACCAGGATGTTTTTTAAAAAAACAAATTAGAAATAAAGTTTTCATAGCTGCATGTTTTTATGTCTCCACTTCTCAATTCTAGGCGTATTACTTGAAAGTAAGTTGCACTAGGTAATATCCAGAGGAAATTAATCATGCTTTAGTCCTACTGGATCAATTCAACATGCAGTAGTCCCTCTAAGCTGGGCATGTGTGTGCGGACACCTCTGCCTCCCTCCACACATCTGTCTTCCTCCTCCACTCAGCGATCATGTTAAGTTCCGGTCACTATGGAACCCTGCATGGGGGGGGCGGAGTCGTGCACAAGGAAAAGCCAGAGCCCCACCCAGCGAAGCTGAAAGTTAAGAGGGTACATTGGTAATAACTAACAGTCTCTCTCTTTTTAATGAGACTAAAGCCTAACTAACTTCCTCTGAATCCAGCTCATTAATTGTAAAAGAGGAGGCTTCCATTTGATATGTTTTGGATGGGAGTATTTATTGAGTTACACTAGCATGATGCAAAATAAGACTTCCTTTATCTATAATTTATTATAATTTATTCTAATTTATTCTCTCTCTTATTATTATTTTCGGTATGGATTGTTAATAATTGATGTTTTTGGCATTATATTAATTGTATATATGCTGATGTTAGCCGCTCAGAGTGGTATAAATATACCAGATGGGTGGGATATATATCAAATAAATAAATAAATAAATAAATAAATAAATAAATAATATGTAAAATATATCTCAGGGAGCAATTTAATGTATGGAAGTGACAGCTGGACCATAAAGAAGGCTGGCCGCCGAAGAATTGATGCTTTTGAATTGTGGTGCTGGAGGAGACTCTTGAGAGCCCCCTGGACTGCAAGGAGAACAAATCTATCCATTTTAAAGGAAATCAAGCCTGAGTGCTCACTGGAAGGACAGATCCTGAAACTGAGGCTCCAATACTTTGGCCATCTCATGAGAAAATTCCCTGGAAAAGACCGTGATGTTGGGAAAGTCTGAAGGCAAGAGCAGCAGGGGATGACAGAGGACAAGATGGTTGAATAGTGTCTGTTACGTTTCTGGCGCAGAGTAAATGAAGACACTTTACCAATTCTTCTTTGACGGTTATATTTACATATATGTACACTTATATACAGGCAGGTCTCTACAGCACATCTAGAAGTCTTCACACAGTCCAACGGCATGCGTGGCAGAAAATCACATCAGAAGAAGAGAACATATCACAGACACAGTCCATATTTATACATAATCTTGTCTCTGTCCAGTCCAATCGGGTTCCAGGTGACCTCTTCTCTGCACCTGGGCTCTTTCTGGTTTCACCTCATTGCATCAGCTTAGGATGATTCAGCTTTTCTCTCATCTGCACATAATGGCAGCTCGTTAATGAAACATATATGGGTTCAGGCCTATAAAATTCTATACCCTGACAGTGTCATTGAAACTACCAACATGAATTTGACCCAACTCTGGGAGGCAGTGGAAGACAGGAGGGCCTGGCATGCTCTGGTCCACAGAGTCACAAAGAGTCGGACACAACCTAATGACTAAACAACAACAAAAGTCAAGATGAATCAACTTGTCAATTCATTGAAAAAAATTACTAAATTAGTCATTTGTCAACATTTATGAATTGCAAACCATGATGAATTGCCATGTTCTTGATTTGTGCCCATCTCTAATTGCAATGTAAAAGAAGAGGGGGTAGGTGTAAGACCATTAACTGCAGAGTCAAAAATAATCTAAAAGCACCACTGGCAGTCAGAGATGGTCATCAGTGTCACATAGTGCACTTTTCCCACTCCTGTTGTGGAAAATGGAGCGACTATCTAGCGGAAGCCTTTTAGAATGGCCAAGAGCTATGTTTCTATCAACACCTCCTGCTGAACCTGGAAGTTGAATCCAAATTACTCATTCTGTGAATTACAGATCATCCCCATCTGTGACTCTCAACCATCACTAGTGGGACGAGCAGATGTCTAGCTAGAGCTCAGCCTTTTCATAACAATAACAAAAGCCTACACCAATTGCTAGTCCCAGTCAGAAAAGACCCATTGGATCAATGCTTGATAGTAAATCCCATATGTAAATCCCAGTGGTTCAAAGAATCTGCTCTGGTTGGAACAACTAGTAGATTACTCTCCTTGGAGCACTATTAGTAATTATCAATACTTAAGTGTTTCTACTAATACATTTCCTGTTTACAAAACTTAAATGTTCAAAAAGTGGCCTTTTTGTTCCTATGATGGTAGGACTTGGGTCTGTTGACAAAATGACTGGTGGAGGTAGGGTATCAATGACTTCAGATGTTGTATGGCTTCAGCTCAACTCTCAAACTCCTGCTAGCCTAGCTCGTGGTCAGGAATGATAGGAACATCTGGCGGGCTGATGTCCCCTCTTGTTCTAGCACATCAGAGCAGGCAACTGCTTTACCAGAGTCAACAGAAGAGCAGTAGATGAACCTGGTGCCCTTTCGATGTTTTTTAAAAATTATAATTACAATTCTCATCATCCCTCACCACTGCTACAGCTGATGGGAATTGTAAATCAAAGGTTCACTCTCCAGGCAGGAGAAGCAGAGCACAAGTCCTGAAAGATATGGGAAAAGTTGAGTATTAAAACGCCATTAAGACATGCCGGGAGGCAAAATCAAATTTTATTGGTCATTGTTGACACAGATCTTAAGTGAACAAAAATATACAGTAATTTATTTCCTCCAAGAAAATATTCTGCCAACAATTCTTTTTTAAAGCATAGAAACAGTTTTCAGTGTCAAGAACCAGTTGTGTTTTTTTGTTTTTTTATACATTGTGGTATTCTGTCAACTCCATGTAAAATTCATACAGATGATGGATTTTTTTAGGCCCAGGGTGTAAAAGAACACAGAGGTCTTCAATCAGTCCCAGATTCAGTCCCTTTTAGCAGCTATGCCAGTCAGAAACCCCAGAACGAAGCTGATGTGAGTTCTACTCTTTTGCCTCACGTCCGCCTCATCTTCTGTTTCTTGGCTTGCCTCTTCACATCCTCGAGGCCACCTGTGTCAGAACCTGTCTGCCCGAGTGCACACATTCCTTGTAGGCGACTGGTTAGCTGGAGCAGCAAAGGAATCAACTGGAAGAGCAGAAAACATGGGGGAGAAGGCATCATGGTACAATAGGAAAAGAAACCCAAATACCAACATTCCCATGGAACTGCTATTAGAATAAACCAGTCACAAAATAGTCAGAACAAACCATTCCAGCTGCCTCATACCGAACAAGAACAAAATCAGTTCACCTGCCTCTTCTCGCTGGCTGGCAATGACTCTTCAGGGTTTCCATCAAATTATAACCTAGCTGTACCAAGCAATTCCTTGAAGAACTGGGTAGCCTCCACTCCAAACACTAAACAGGCACAATCTTGCTTTGCTTCCAAAATCAGGTAAGACTGGCATGCTCACTGAGTGCCCAACTGGAAGCCTTTCAGGAAGATACAGAAGGCACCAGGAACTTCTACAAAGGCAGTAAGCATTGGGGAGCTTTGGAGGAAGAAGCGCTGTAGGAGAGCAACCACCTACTTCCACTACTGTTCCCCCACAATGACGCAATGTTACATCGTGGCTAGTGGCTATCAACTCCCTCAACCTCTATGAATTTACTTCCTTTCTCTTTTTAAGGCATCAAAACTGATGGCCATGATATCTGTCAACAAATTCCAGAGAAAGATGGAATGCTGACAGGCTGATAAATAGCCCAAGTCCTCCTTCCAAATCTTACAGTGGAAAAGAGGAGGCACTGCAGAAACTTAACTGGTTTAAGCTATGTTTGAGGCATGAAAAAAAAATCTCTGTAGCAAAGCATGTTGAGACAAAGGATTATTAGCTTTTCCTTTCAGAAAAAATGCCAGAAGATAACATGGATTCAATGAGGACACACAAGTCTTTTGTAAGGCAGAAAGGGGAAGCAATGGTGAGCACAAGGCATGTTTAAACTGACAAAACTGTATGTGCATGTGGCCAGAGTGAGCAAAGGGTTTTCCTTGTATCTAGAAATACTGTGGAACAGTTGTCAAACATCCAAGCTGCCAAATAAGAAACCACGCACATTACCTTATCATGGTTGTAACCAGCCAAAAGGAGAAGCAGTGTCAATGGCAAGGCAATGTAAGAGCCCTGGGCAATATCCTGCTCAGGCAGCTTTCTCTGAAAAACAGCAAGAGTGTAAGAATTTGTGGTGTGATCCTGCTCTTTGGAAGTGGCAATATTCACCCCTTATGTACCAGAACACTATGTACTTCCGCCTTCTGATGCCAAGCAATCCTCATATCCCTCGCAGACGTATCAGACACCACTCATGAGGGGACACATTACCAGTGGCAAGACTGAGAAGCTATCTGCCACCACTTGTGCTTTGCTGAAGTACCCAACTGCACAAAACCTGGGCATTGTTAATACTACAAGTGGAACCCGCAACAAAATGTTACAGTACAGAGATAATGCTCTTTCAGCCCCTTCATTCCCTTTGTCTTTCCATCTACTCTTGGTTCATAGTCCCTTACCCACTAATCAGTGAGCATTCCACATCTTTAGCAGGAAGCAGACATTGAGCCCAGTTGTTTCTGGCAATGGAGTTTCTACCACCATCAACCCAAGATACTGGAGACACTGCTCCATTCCATGGCAAGGAAAAAGTGGGAGGATGTACATATGTGTTCTCCCACTCTTTGAGTGAAAAAACACATACATACAGAGAAAGAAGAGGGAAGGTGATGCTACCAGCATTTCATGGATGGCCAAACCTCCAGAGCTGTCATTTTGTGAATGGCAGTGTTGCCCTCCCACAGTAGCCATTTTGTGGATGCACCCATTATACTTCTAAAAGGAAGAAAGCAGAACCACAAGTAAAAATATAAAGGCAAAAGAAAACCAATATCCTAATATATTCTCAAAATACTTTGCTTGGGGGGGGGTGCTTACCGTTGGACTGAAAACCAATGTGATGTGTTTATGGTACCCAACTGTGGTAAAAGAAACTTGAGGAAGGGTATAATCATACTGAGATCTGGAGAGTGTTGAGTCCAAAAGCACCACATAATTCTGCCAATAAAAGAAAGAGGGAGTTACTAAGGACTAGCAGGAAAAAAAATCAGCAGCAAAAAAGAAGAAAACTCTGCTGATGTTAATTAAATTGAAATGTTGCCTTCCACAGGAGTATGTTTCTTCATCTCCTTGTTATCAACGGCTAGCACTGCTCTGCAGGCAATGTCTTGTTTGTCTGTTTATTTTCTCTCATCTTTGCTTTGGTGAACTCAAGGAAGAGCACCTGGCTCTCCTCCTGCCCACTTTATCCTCTAAGTGAGATACCCTGTTTCCCCGAAAATAAGACCTAACCTGAAAATAAGCCCTAATATGATTTTTCAGGATGCTCGTCATATAAGCCCTACCCCAAAAATAAGCCCCTATTAAGTGAAACCCCGCCCTCTACCCTTGTGCAGCAACCAGAAGAAGATGACATGACTGTATTGGAATAAATGTGGATTGTTGTACATAAAAAAATAAAACATCTCCTGAAAATAAGCCCTAATCCGTTTTTAGAGCAAAAATTAATATAAGACCCTGTCTTATTTTCAGGGAAACATGGTAGGATAGCTAGATAGCCCAGTGCCTTAAGTCTCTGGCTGTGAAGACAGAGGTTGGGAGTTCAGTTCTCCACTGTGCCTCCTTGAGAGGGGTTGGACTTGATGATCCATAGGGTCCCTTTCAGTTTTGCAGTTCAAAGATGATGATGATGATGATGATGATGATGATGATGATGATTATAGGTGGGGGGACAGAAAGGAAGGAAGGAAGGAAGGAAGGAAGGAAGGAAGGAAGGAAGGAAGGAAGAATATCTGTTAGGTGTTGCGAGATACGGTTATTGTTCAGTTTTGGGTTAGGGTTATGGTAAAGGGTAGTGTTACGGTTAGAATTAAGCTTAGTGTTCAGGTTAGGGTTAGGGTTAGAGTTAGCATGAAGGTTACGGTTAGGATTATAAAGAAAGACAGAATGAAAGAAAAACAAAGAGACAGAAAGAAAGAAAAAAAACGAATGAAAGAAAGAAAGAACGAAAGAAAGAAAGAACGAAAGAAAGAAAGAAAGAGAGAGAGAGAGAGAGAGAGAGAGAGCACTACCTTGCACTCTTAACACAGTTTTATAGTTAAGAACTAATCTGGCTGATGACCAATCCAAGGTATGGTAAAGGAGGGAAGGGCCCCATGGAAAACAAAAATGCTAGGGAATGATGGAAAACTACATGGCCTTCTCTGGCTCCTTCCTTTGGCAGAAGGCGATTTGTGAACAGTCCAGAACTGCTGGATAGCTCAGTTTTTAAGTTCAATTCCCCACTGTGCCACTCCTGACAGAGTCTGGACTTGATAATCCATAGGGTCCCTTTCCAGCCCTGCAGTTCTAAGATTAGCTAAGAGGTTAGCAGAGCTTTCCTTTCCTGTGTCCAGTTGTGGAAGTGCAGCCCAGTGTTTGCATGTTAGTAAACTTATGTGCATGTTCACAAGACGGTATCCTTCTTTATATTACAAATTAGACAGGAAAACGGTAGACAGAAAGGAGAACCACCAGACACAAGCCTATATTGCCCACTACATAGTTTCGATGGTCTCTTGTGTAGAAACAGATAGTAAAAGGTTTGAAAACTAAGCCCTGGGAGGAACAGCTGAGGGAACTGGCTTTGTTTAGCTGGAGAAGAGAAAAACAAAATATGATGTGACACTTATCTTTGAATAGCTGAGGTTGGAAGATGGAACAAGTTTGTTTTGTGCACCTCTGGAGGACAGGCCCCAAACTAACTATCCAGATTACAAGAAAGGATATGTGATCATGTAAGGGCAAGTACACAGGGAAGGTGACGCAATTTGCCAGCTAATGTACATAATGTACTAAGTCATCCTCTGCTTGTATCGTCATGAGATCAACAGTGGGTAAGGCATAAAAAAACCCTGTCTGCTCAGATGTCCTTAACTGTGTGGTCTTCTGCAGATTTTGATCTAAGAAGAACTTTCAGGCAGTAAGAGGTTTTCGACAGTGGAATGGCCTGCCTCAGAAGTGGGCAGACTCTCTTTCTATTGAGGTTTTCAAACATTTGTCCATGGCATCTCTCATCTCTTTTTAGATTTATATAAAAACTGAAGTCACATTGACTCCACATAGACTTCACCTTACAGGCCAACAATGACAATACGATGTTCCACAGAAAGGCTTAAACGAATACCTCTCCATCCCGGAGCAGTGGTGGAAAGTGGAAAAATAAAGACTGTCCCAAGGAGACTGTATGAACTGGATTGTCGAGGTTTTCACTCTTGTAAAGCTTCACCTGTAAGAGGAGAAGGTGAAGAAATGAGGCCTCAGTGAAAGAAGATGGCTGGCACCTTTTCCACCCTGATTCTCAGTCAGCCCTTTCCCAAGCTTCTCATTTCTAACTCAAGACAGAATTTGGAAGTGGGACCTAATAAGAGCAAACCAGGCCATCATCTTGAACCTTAGCTTGGCAGAGTTCCTCTTCTGGACTACAGCCCAGAATGACCCAGGGATTCAGGGAGCTTTAATTCAACTCCCCCTCCCCCCCCCCAAGTTCTGTACCAGAACTTTGCTTTCCAGGAGCCACAGCAAAGCTCACCTTGCTTGGGAACTGCATTTTCCTTCAAGCCACATCATGTCCCTGACAAGATTATTCTTGTCTCACCACTCAAACTATTTTATTTATCTAATGCTGCCTAACAGTTAAAATACAAATCAAATGAAACAGCAACGGAACTCAAAGTATGATAAAGTTATAGGAGCAATAACATGAATAACAAAATTATTCTCAATAAAGCTGATAGTGATTTTAAAAACTGCAGCATTAACCTTAGAGGATGACCTCAAATAACTAATAGTTTTCCAACAAGACTATCTTTACTGCCATTGCCAATTTTATCTGACACCTCTCTGAACTGGGGTTGGCAGCTCATGGCTCTTCAGATATTGCTGGAATCTCTGCCATCCATGCCCTTGGCCAGACCTGGACAAAACGTGGCCCTCCAGATGATGCTGAACTGCAACTCCCAGCAACCCTAGCCCACACAGCCAATAGTGAGGAGTGTTGGGATTTGCAGTTCAGCAACATCTGGAGGGCCACGTTTTGCCCAGGCTATGCTGGTTAGGTTCACAGAACACAGAATAATGGACTTGAAGGCAATGGGTTCCATTATTGTACTGCTCTAACAGTTGGGAAAATTTCCCTGATCATAGAATCATACAACAGTGAAGTTGAAAGGGGCCTATAACGCCATCAAGTCCAACCCCTCGCTCACTGCGGGAATACAAATCAAAGGATATCTCCCAGGTGGTAGTCTCTCTTGAATGCCTCCAGTGTTGGAGCACTCACCACCTCTCAAGGTAATTGGTCCTACTGTCTTACTGCTCTAACAGTTAGGATGTTTTTCCTGCCATTCAGTCGAAAGCTGACTTCCTGTAACTTGATCCCACTGTTGTGTGTCCTGCACTCTGGGATGACTGAGAACAGATCTTGCCCCTCCTTTGTATGACAGTCTTTCAAGTATTTGAAAAGTGTTATCATATCACCCCTCAACCTTTTTTTCTCAAGGCTAAACATGCCCAGTTCTTCCAGTCTTTCTTCATAAGGCTTGGTTTCCAGCCCCCTGATCTCCTTGTTCAAGGTTCAAAATAGGTTCTACCATCAAGCAAAAGCTATTTTCCTGAATTCATTGTCAAACGTCCAGCTCCACTGTACTGAACGTCTCAAGTCAAACACTCTTCTGTAAAATTCTAATGTGTACAGAATCCACAGACTTACTTCAAGATTTATGAAAGGATGCATAACATACCCATAAGGTTGGGAGATGCTCAGAGGAAGTGATCACATTTCCACTTAGATCAAACTGGTTAATTTGACGGAAAGCAATAATATTCACATTCTCAATGTCACTGTTGCCAACCTACAATATGGGAGAAAAGCACATAAAGTTTAATGATAGCCAGATGGAAAAGCTTCAAAAATTCTGCTCAAATCACTTCCCTTGGCAATAACAAGTGAATGTTAACACTGCATTTCAAATCCTGTTGAATATAATTTTTGTCATGGAGAATGAAACACAAACACACTTCTAGCACAAAAAAGGTCAAAGAACCAGGTGAAGTATTTCTTCAGACATAAATTCCAAACTTAAAAATGAGGAGAATAGACAGTAATTATTCTCCTGCTCTACCTTCACTTTCCATTTCATTCAAGTAGGAGAACTGATCTAGTGCGCTACAAAGAATACAAGAAATGCAAAAACCCAAAACAGATGTAAGCAACTGACACCATTTACGTATGTGTTTTGGATTATAATCAGCCTAAGAGAATTTGGCCTAAGCATGTAGTGCTAGTCATTTACAGAGCATCATACTGCCTACTCCCAAAACTAAGGAATGGATTTACTAGATTATATAAAATCCCCCGTCACATTTAATATCCTTGTGGGTAAGCTGGCCAAATGGCCCAAGAACCACCACTACCTGATTTGCTTCTAAATAACTCCAATCCAAAAATTCCACTTGAAAAGGATACGTGTTTCTCTGATTTGGAACATCAGGAAACTACCTGGCACCAACTCAGATCACTGTTCCACCAAATGTTCCATTGTCTACCCCAGGAAGCCAAATCTAGCTCTTGTTCCTGGAAAGCCATTCTTAGTTCACCTGTATGTACCCACTTCTTATACAGTTTCCACCTAGGACAAGTTGAAGGTTAAAAGGTTATGGCTTATTTACTGCCAGCAAGAGCTTTCAAACTAAATATGGCATTTTTTTTCTTCACTTCCACCTATCAGTGGAATACAGTTTTAAGGCATCCTCCCTACAACAGAATTTGGTCCTTAGGCTGAAGAAGTCCCCATCTGTGATCTACACTGACTGGCAGATGTTCTCCAGGACTGCAGACAGAGGCTGAACCTGGAAACTTTTGGGGGCAAAACGTGCTCTGCCATTAGGCTCTGACGTCCCTCCTTCACAAAAATAAAATAATAGTAAAAAAACACCACTGACAGGGAAAATCTAATTCATGGATTGAACTCTGGATCCCTAGACTCCCCAGACAGACTCCTCTCTCGTCCTGCTCCAGATTATCATTGCCTGTGCCTGTGCTTATTCCTTACCTACAGAGGTACAGTAGCTGAGGAAATCTGTCTAAAGACAACACCTGTCTCCTGTAAGAGTAAGAGACCTACCTGTAACTCTGCCCCACATTTGGTTCTCACCCTACCCACTGTGAGAATGTAGATTCAGGCATTGTGGGGTACTGTGCACCTCAGCAGGAAGGGGCCTGAGCAGGACCAACTGCCCCTCCAGAAATCTTCCCAGCAAGCACAGGCAAGTGGTCAAGATCCTGGGAGTTGCAGTCTGAAGCATCAGGAAAGTACCATACTAGGGAAGGTTATGCTAGCAGGTTGCCAGGTTTCCTATAGTGTAGATGCAGGTTGGTGGTGTAGAGGTTAGTGCTAGGCTGAGAGTTGCAAGATGTGGGTTGTAGCCCCCATTGAGTTATGAAACTCAGTGGATGAACCTGAGGCAATAACTTCCCCTCTGCCTGAGGTTTACTGTGAGATTAAGTGAACCATGGATACTGCTTTGAGCTCATTGCAGGAATGCAGGCTAGACATCTAAATAAGCAAAAGTGTGAATAATTTTACAGACCATCAGAAGTAAACTCATTTCGAAGGAAAGCTAGCACGGTATGCATTATTTGTTGGTTCCCTCCCCCAAGTGTATTTCTCTGTGGAGGGGAGGAGGGACAGCATGAAGGGCAGAGGAGTGAAAATTAGCCACTGACATGCAACCTACAGCACAAACATTAGGATCTGGAACTGTCACCCATTGTTTACATCAACCTCCTTCATCCTCAGTAAGCTGAGAACATCTGAGAGCTGAGGAAATCCCAGGCTCTTCTTTTGTGCAACAGGCAGAAAAGCATCTAACAACAGAAATGAGTGTGACAACCCCAGACCTACTGGAGTATGCCACACTATAAATATGCTGCTGTTACATACAGCACTGATGTTACCTGTCTGTCATGGGTTTGGAGGGAAAGTTCCATCCTATGGGGAGTGGAAGGCGGGACATCAGGAGGAGGGGCTGTACTGTATATATATGTGGAGCTTGTGTGGTGAAGTTTAGAAGAAGGAGAAGCTGGAGAAGAGCTGAGAGAAGAAGCTTGAGTGGGAGTCTGTGTGTCAGACAGGGTACTACTGTGTGTCAGTCAGTACCAACCTGATAGGTTCAGGTGTCTGTATGGGAAGCCAGAACTGATAGGTTCAGGGTCTGTGCTTTATTTAAAGGTGTTCTGTGTGAACCAAACGAGTGTATGTATGATTGAGACTAAGCCACGTTACTGTATCTTATTCACTTGATCATTTTATTTTCCCTGTGTGTTCTTTAAATAAACCTTATTCCTTTATTTGTTAAAAATCCATCCCTGGTCTGTGTGACTTCTTATAGGGAATGGTTGGTGGCAGCTTAGTTAAACTGTGGTATATCCCAGTAGGTCTGGGTTTGTCACAGCTGCCACCAACCATTCCCTATAAGAAGTCACACAGACCAGGAATGGATTTTTCACAACCAAAGGAATAAGGTTTATTTAAAGAACACACAGGGAAAATAAAATGATCAAGTGAATAAGATACAGTAACGTGGCTTAGTCTCAATCATACATACACTCGTTTGGTTCACACAGAACACCTTTAAATAAAGCACAGACCCTGAACCTATCAGTTCTGGCTAACCCTACAGACACCTGAACCTATCAGGTTGGTACTGACTGACACACAGTAGTACCCTGTCTGACACACAGACTCCCACTCAAGCTTCTTCTCTCAGCTCTTCTCCAGCTTCTCCTTCT